GGGGGTCTGCTGGGCGGCACCCCCAGCCAGGGCCTTGCTGGGTGGGTGCTCACCCCGGCCCCCGCTCAGGGTGGGACTCCAGCGCCGGGTACTCGCTCTGGAAGGACAGGAGGTCTCTGCAGCCAGGGGCTGCGGCCGGCACCACCAGGCAGGGGGGCTGGCAGCACGCACAGCCCGTCGGCTGGGGCAGACACCCCTGCCTGGCTTCCTCTGGTACCGCGGTTAGGGCTGCCCCAGGATGGCGCAGAGCGGGGAGAGCCTCGAGGGCTCACGGGGAAGGGCTGAGGGTGCTCAGAGAGTTGGTGAGCCCCATGCCACCCCAGCTCTGGGTGCAGGGGGTCACCCTTCCAGGGACCCCACTGGCCCCAGGCCCCCCCGCTGTCATCTCGTGCCACTGGCCCTGTCTGCCTAGTGACACTGAGGCCACCAGCAGCCGGGACAAGGTCGTCTCCCCATGCCTGGTCCCAGGGTCCCCAGAGCTGCTGTGCAGCCTGAGGGGGGGGGCAGGCAGTGTCCTGGCCCCCTGCCCCCCCCCGCCCCGCCCCCCCCCTGACGTGGCCAGGAGGCCACGGGCAGGGGGACCCCCACGCACCCACTGGGAGGGCTGGGACCACCCAGCGCACTGGTACAAACCTGCTCCTCGTTTCTCGGCCACGGTGTGCACCCCTGTGGTCCCCGGCATGTGCCCCCTCCTGCCCTGCAGGGCTGGACCTGGGGGTCCCCGCGGGGCACAGGGGATGTGTCCCCATGCCGGGGCAGGAGCGTGACCTGGCACCTGGGTGGCAGGGACACCCACTGGGAGGGCTGGGACCACCCAGCGCACTGGTACAAACCTGCTCCTCGTTTCTCGGCCACGGTGTGCACCCCTGTGGTCCCCGGCATGTGCCCCCTCCTGCCCTGCAGGGCTGGACCTGGGGGTCCCCGCGGGGCACAGGGGATGTGTCCCCATGCCGGGGCAGGAGCGTGACCTGGCACCTGGGTGGCAGGGACAGATGGCGGGGACATTGCAGAAGAAGGGGCGTTTGCCTGGTTCCAGGTAGGAAATCAGCCTTTGGCCGCGAGACTCTGCCTGTGACCACGGCGGCACCAAGCCCTCCCGCCACCAGAGTTACACCGGCTCCCGCAAGGGCCAGCTGCCGGAGTGGAGCTGCATCCCAACATCCCACTGCCCCATGCCCCCCACACCGCCCCGGGGCCCCCCAGCCCTCGGC